CCCCACCTTGACCTGTCCTGCCTGAAGGCACTGACCCCGATGGCCTTGCAGTCGGAGACATATACTGGGAGATGCCTCGACCAAGCTAACACGAATCGGTCTACCTCCTGAAGCCCGTACGTCCGGCAGAGCCAACTGAATGAGTTGGCGTCAACCATCCATTCCGTGGACAGGGGAATGAACCGAGACAGGCTGTCTGCCAAGACGCTGGGCACACCCTGAATGTGAATTGCCAGGAAAGCCAAACTCCATGAATTCAACAGATGAGTCACCCGAAGCAACCAACCCTAAAGAGCCAAGGATCGCATTGAACCCCCATGGATCAGGTAATAAACCACTGGGGAGCAATCTGAATGGAGCTGGATCGATGATCCATGAGTGACCCAAACCCTCCAGAGCGACATCCACACGGCCGTGAATTCCCTCACCATGCTGTGGGCACAACAGTAGGATGGACCCCACCCCCCCTGGCCGCTGGCCTGGTGAGCACTGGTCACAAAGCCCCAGTCAAGAGACGACACGTCCATGAACTCATAGAGCAAGGGCTCGGGTAGGTGCCAAGGCACTGAACCCCGAAAAACTCGAAGAGGTAGCCAGCGACGCAGCAGTTGACATAAGGCACCCAGCGGTCGCGAGAGAGGCGGAAAGGATGTTCCCAAAGGAGCCAGAACAGCCGACGAAGCCAAACCCGGCCTGGTGGATACACCATCACAGCAATGTTCAGACTCCCATAAGCAACCCTTGAGCAACCGCCGCGTGACCCGGGAGTCCCCAGAAACAGGCAAAAGCGGGACTGCAGCCGCAGCAGTGCCACCGGAGGGAGGACAAGGAAGCAGTCTGAGATTCCCCCACAAAACCCAGCCAAGACCGAACCTGAGAGGGAACCAGATGGGACTTCCTCCAGTTTATCAGGAACCTGAGCCCCGCGAGCTGGGAAAGAACCAAATCCCTGGCGAGTAGACACACGGACTGGCTGGGAGCCCTTACCAGCCAGGTAGGCCAGAACCTGAACCCCTAAGAGACACAGACGGACCACAGACGGGTAAGGCGTGTGAATACGCGAGGTGCCAGATTCAAGCTGAATGGAAGGCAACGAAAGTGGTAAGCCTGACGCCTCACAACAAAACTGAGCCAGTTCCTGAACCCCGGATGAATCGGGATGTGCCAATACGCATCTCGGAGGTCCAGAGACACCATCCAAGCACCCGGCTCCAAAAGAAGCCAGACCTGGACAGAGAAGTCATTCGAAAGGAGGGGCAATAGACCCAGGGGTTCAGATGGGACAAGCCGGCGCCCGGGATCGAACCCGGGACCACAGGATCATGCGCCCAGTGTTCTGTCCGCTCAGCCACTGGCTCCAAAAGTAAAATGGTGCCTATTAATCTTGTCTAAATTACCAATCAAACTGTCAATGCAATCAGAGCTACTAATGTACTTTAATATACCTACTAATCTCTCCCATCTCATTTTTCTTTTTTCTTGCAATGTATCTGTTATCATTTTATTAATTCTGCTTGACTTTACCTACTTAAAATTATCTATTAGATTAAAGACCTGCCCGAAACGCTGCGTGTACTAGTGGCTTTACAAGATTGTAAATACCATGCTATGTATCCTCACAAACCCAATGTACCTACTTGTATATAAATAAATAAAATAAAATAGAACAATAACAAATTCTGTTTTCAGACAACACACAGCCCTCCCTGTTTAAATCCTTAAACATGCTAAACATAATCTCACTCCACACATTCTCGTGTACCATTTACATATACAAAACCTTATTCCTAGATGCAAATCCTGATCTGAAACTCTTCCTAGACAGATACAATAGAACTCATTATCACCACACCAGAAATAAATACGTGTATCTCTTTGATATCCCTAGAGTCAAATTAAATCTGTGTAAACTCTCTATGAAAATAAAGGGAAAATAAAGAGTCTATGCAACTCACTCCCTAACGAATTAAAAAGCTGTCCAATCTACACTTATTCAAAAGTAAAATAAAAAAGTCCTTAATTTCATCCTCATAAGTTTCCTACCTAGTGTTTCAACTCGCATTGTATCTTGTGCTACCCACTCCTCCAAAATATGTGCTTAAGCCATACAACTTCACCACTGTATTCACTGCCATCATCTTATAGCATGGTTGTTATGGTGAATGCAAATTTTATTACAATGTACCTTAGAAATAATCCTCAAATTATGCTACAATGTACCTGTTGATAATCTTCAAATTTCACTGTAATGTACCTATTAATTTTCTAAAAGTTTTCTTACAATGTACTTATTAACATTTTTCAATTTTGCTATAAATTACCTACTTAAATGTATTTGTTAGATTAAGGACCTGCCCGAAATGCTATGCATGCTACTGGCTTTACAAGAATGTAAAATCATCAATGCTATGTACTCTCATTACCTAATATATCTTTTTGTATATATATAAATAAAATAAAATAAAATAAAATAAAATAAAATAAAATAAAACAAAATAAAATAAAATAATGCATTTTTATTGCATACAAGAAAAAAAAGACACTGATGCAAAGGCTTCCTGAAGGCATCACCTGTTGCAACGAATCCCTCGCCACAACGAACTGGGGTTGGTCCCAAACAGAGAAAAAGGGCACTTACCAGGGAAGAGACAGCACCGCAGGTATGAGGATGAAGATGAAAGCTTTCAGCAATGACACATGACCCACTGCAACACAAGGCCACTGAGGGCTAGGGACTTTCATGAGATACCTGGCCGCCAAGACCCTGTTTGATCGCCAAAACCCCCGCACCCGAGCGGCCAAGTGATATCAGGAAGTATACCGCATCAGAGCAGCATATTTCTTGACATCACAGGCATTAGGGTAGACCGCAGGTTGGCTAGCTTTTATGATGCTGTGGACAACCTGAGAAATACGAGCCCTACAAAAGGGACCCAGGGAAACTGAATCAACCAACAAGGAGCTCATCAAAGTAGAACCAGTGGCCGAAGGTAGTGACGTAAATCCACAACCGGACAAAGCACATGATGCACCCCTGGCTGAACCAACCACACATCCTTTACCAAAGGACCCCTCCTGAAACTGACTGACTCATTCTTCGCCAGAAAAGAGGGAGCCGGCTGCATCCCGAACAAAAAGCCCTCTAGGGCCAAACAAACAAAACCCGAGGCGCTGAAGAAGTGCATGATGATCCCCCCCCCCCCTGACAGCCGGAAGCCAAAGAGAACAAAAACAATGCCTTCCAAAAACAATCCCGGACTAAAAGGGCCACCATAAATTGAGCAGAAGAAAGAAAAGAAAGAACCCTACCAAGTGACCACACAGGGTCAGGTAGCAAATGCCAGAGGTGAAACAAAGCACAAGAAAGCTTGCAAAATGGGCCAGAAGAGGTATCCACCCTGAAAGTAAGTTGGAGTAACTATGCCAAGAAATGACAGTATTTGGCATACGATGCCAATCTGAAAACAGCCAGGAAAGAAAGGACAAAACAACCTGCTTGAAGACCGAAGAGCAACAATGTAGGGACAGAAAATGGTGGAAGCAATGCCAAGTGACTTCATTCTGTTGCCGAGAAGATGACGGCAAGTGGGACCCAATTAAACCAGCCACCTGATCACCAGGTGGCTGACAAGCAGCACCTGAAACCAAGACTGGGCCAGCCAGCAAGGAGCCACTCTCCCATTGTAAGACTCCAGACTCCCAGCACTCGGAACAACAGCTGGACCAGGGGAAAGAGATAAAGAAACTCCATCTCAATCAGTCCAGCCAAAAGGTATCCACCATGAGGCCTCACAGTCGGGTAACAGTGTTGCATAAAGAGGCAGATGTTAAGACCACACTGATGCAAAAAGAGGTCGATATCCAGGCGCCCAAACATCTGGCACAGCCAGAGGAAGGAATCAGTGTCGATAATCCATTCTGTGGAGAGGGTATGGAACAGGGACAGACCGTCAACCAGAATGTTGGACACTCCCTGGACGTGAATGGCATGGAGATGCAAGCCCCGAGAACTCAGCAGACGAGCCACTCAAAGCGACCAGCTCCAAAGAGACAGGGAATGCATGGACAATGAGTTCATTGTCCATTGTCCCCTCCCGTTTGAGACAATGAACCATTGAGGGAACAATCTGAATGGAGCCAGATCACAAAGCCCAGAGGAAGTCGAACTCTCTGCAGCACTTGCCACATGGCTGCAAACTCCAGAACCATAGTGTTCGCTTGACAAAGGCAGGGATGCCAATGACCCTTGCTGGCCTGGTGAGTGCTGGTCATAAAGCTAGCCAGGATTATGTCACATGGTCACAAAATTTTGGTGATTTGTTTTCATTGTATGGGGGAGTTCTTTTTGGCAATTTTGAGGCTGTGAGATCATTTTAACCATGCAGTAGTCTATTTTGTTTTGCTTAACTTTCTGGGTGCCTTCCCCCATGGTGGCAATTATGGTTAACTTTAAATGTAAGGTGTTTATTTTATTTTATTTTATTTTATTGATTGATTTGTATATACAAGGTAAATTGGATTTGCGGGAGCACATAACATTGGTGTTTTTACATCCATGCAAAGCCTCTAACATGCAGAGCATTTCGGGCAGGTCCTTAATATAACAGTTAAGCCACTGCTCCATGGGGGGGCCAGGTTCTGGCTCATGGTCCCCAGTAGGCCAATAGAACTCCACAACTGATGGCAGCTAGTAGTATGGCACTATATCAGTGATAATAGCTTCAGGGAGTCTCCTGGGCTCACCCTGAAATTGGCGTTTCATTACATTCAATGGTGGTTTTTTCCTCCCCATACTTATCGAGAGAAGATTAACACCTTCACCTCGGTTGCAGTTTGTGCAGTGCAAAATATATAAAAAATCAACTAAGAAACATCAAACATTGATATACACACACAAAAAAATATTTAAACCCTACCAAATTTTCGGCCCTCAAACAACCAAGCCTCACTATGACACACACACGCGCAACACAATGAACACAGCTCAACCAGACGCTTACCTAACATATTACTGTCCTCTTGAAACTTCACCAGAAGCTCGTTCGCTCTCTTTTTGGGCTTGAAGTAGGTGCCAGCAATGTCCTCCTCCTCACTCTTCTGGAGTTTCTGCTGAGGGCATTAATGTTTTAATGTTAGGCATTACAGTGACCCTAGGGGGCAGAGCACAGGGATAGAACACCTTTGACTGATGCTACATGAGTGAATAAATTGAGGAGGAAGCATACAGTACTAGTAAATCTCGCCTACAGAAAATATTATTGCAGGTAGAGCATTATTTAGTGTCAATATGCACTGATAATCCCAACAGAGAAAGTCTTATATAAAGCAACTTCCCATTGTTGGAGACAGAATTTATTATCTCTGCTCTTGAATGAGACTGGAAAAACAAGTGTAAAACTACCTTGCATATCTTCTGGACCCCTAGCAAACATGAATAGTCTGTTACTTGATTTCAAACAGGCATTTACCCAAACTGTTAACATCTTATCTCCCAACAGAATAACAGTTGTCATTACAACAACGTAAACTGCAAAATAATTATTCCGTTAACAAGAAGAGTCGATTTTCAGTGAAGGAATAATCTTCTTGAGATCTCCAGCCTCTAACACTCCATCCCATGATATTACTCTCAAATATACTTATCAAGTTAATTTACATCATTTGGTTTCCACATTATAACAAACCCCAAGGTCTTACACTGCAGTTCTTAATTGACAATCTTCGATTTTGTATATCTATCTTTCTCTTGCTCTATCTTTTTATCTCTTTTTCTTTCTCTGTAACAAACACTATCATGCAAATATCCAAGCCGTTACAGTTACTGAAAAAGGGGTAACAATTTTCCATGATGGAAATACAATAATTATGAAGCTAAACAGTACATAATTGTCATGAAGAGAGACTTGTATGTGTGGGATTATCAACACACCTATAGTTATCATTAATCTGGACATTATCATAAAGCAACTTACAGTATTCATATTATTGTTACAGCTATTTTTATTATCATTAAATATTAACATTATGAATATCAGATTTATTAGTATGTATTGATTAATGTTAAATATAAATGTGATTTTGAAATATTTGCTTTATATACTGAGAAGAATGAGGCAGCTAATGTAACAACACTTTTATAACAAAAACTTTTGTTATAAAAGTTTCTAAAAGTACTCTCCATGGATATGAGAAAGTAGAATTTTAAAGATAACTACAAAGACACACACACAACAGGTGCTACAATAGCCTTACCAGTAATGGTGCAAGGCCCTGTGATAAATAACACAGGCATGCAACAATTGGTTCCGTTCACCACAACACCATCGAGCCATGTGGTAAGGGTATTTAAATAACACTTAAGGAAAACTGCAAGTCATAACTATAGCTTGCTTGCATGGGTCTGCTCTTTAAATATCAACACCATAACCCTGAATTTTGTGGGTTTAAGGGCAAGTTGATCTTGAAACTACATATTACCAACATTGTAGTAAAGGATCACTTTCATTATAGTAAGGAAGAATGGTGTTACAGAAGAGGGTGAACACACCAAGAAGGTGTGGCTTGAGAGACAAATGCTGTCGAGATTGAAAGAGCTGCCCCGCATGTTTGATAATGCAACCCAACAACCTTTAACCCTCGTCCATCTAGAGAGGTTCTGGCCTCACACAAGTCAGTCTTGCGCAGTTGCTTTGTGCAATTTGAGTCACTCTGCATTCTCCATGTGTTACCACACTACATGCAACTCATCAATCATGGCCTTTTACAACTTACACCTGCTATGTGCCTCTGTTAGAGTGAGATCTTCCCGTGTGCCAGTTGAGATCACCTGCCATATGCACCTGTCTCTGTTATCCTTCCTGTTGTGTGCACCTGTCACATGCATCCTCAGATGTTGATGAAGACACCTGTGTTGTGTGACGAAGCCAGCTTGTGCACACCACCAGGTACACAGGTGCACACACAAAAATAGCTACATCATACACCATATTGCCTCCTCACCAGCTGCTGTTCTACCTAATATCTCTCAAACAGCTGAACAAAAATCTCCTCTCAGCTGATAACAAACTACTTCTGATATCTACTAGATGATAGCAAACCTCATATCATATTTACAACATGACAGCAAACCTCATATCATATCTACAGTAATAACTGATATTGCAAATTTCATCTCAAGTCTGAACTGTGTAGCAAGCCTCATCTCATATCTAACAACTGATAGCAAACCTCATATCATATCTAACAGTTGTAGGAAACCTCACATCATACCAAACAGGTGTAGGAAGCTTCATGTCATATCTAATAGCTGAGAGTACAAACCTCATATCGTATCTACCAGCTGTAGGAAACCCCTTATGTTAGATCTAATAGCTGATTAAATGTTACCTAAATAGATTAGGTAACATCTGATCTGAATAGGTTACCTGATTAGATTAGATGAACCATGTTATATCTAATTAGCTAAAAGTGCAAAATTCATCCCGTGTCTACCAGTTGTAGCAACCCTATCTCATATCTAAGAACCTATAGCAAAGCCTATTATCATATCAACAAGCCAATAGCAAAAACTTTCCTTGATGGTGAGAAGATAACGCACCTTAACACTAAGAAACATGTAAAGAGCTGTGCATAACAAGACATTAAGAAGTGTGCTGAATTATAAACACCAAAGAACAGTTACATTCACCATGATGATAAAAAGATATCAATAAACTTTTTGAAAATTTCAAGATATTATTATTAAGCCCTGAAGTAGAATTGTATGTTTGGTGTAAGGGCATGAGATTGATAGCCGTACCCCTAGAGTACGAACTCACGAAATCCATCCTTACTTGAATATAATACAACTATGTACTTTAAACCAGGGATGTAGAACCAATCTATATTTATAAACACTTCAAGCACGAGAATGACCACGTGGGACCGGTACCATATTTTTAAATTGGCGGGACTCAAGAAACAAAGTGTGTGCATTACATTTATTTAAACACAAGAAAAGGGATAATACACTAACAAGGAAAAATCACACTCACCAGATTAACGATTACAGTTCCAGACACTCGGATATAAATGGAGATCAATAACCTCACACAGTGAGGTGAGTACCTCATGAGCGCACACACACCACAATCTGTGTGTGTGGAGTCTCAGCCCTCTCTGTCTCCTGGCGTGTAGGGACGCTCCTATCATGAAAACTCGCGGGAAAACTTTACACACAGAATCATACTCATTTACTAATATATACTCTCAAACACAAATGAAATATAAAAATTAACACAAATAAAACAAAGTGGTATTTTAACTAGGAGAAACATTTACATTAACAACCACAAAAGCTAAACTTTATACCAGTCATTACATTGGTGCAGCCTTGAGAAGGGAATCGTTTAATTTCCCTCAAGCAATCGTAACTTGTTAAGTCCCCAAGATGAGAAAGTCTTAAGTGTTTCATGAATACAACTTCTGTTTTCTTTATGTTTTGTTTCCAGTAAAGCTCAGCATGCTGTACAATCATTTACATATGAACACTGACATCCTGGAAATAGATTTAGGATGTCACTGAAATATTTTTAGTGAGTGTTGGGTTTGAATCATGGCCGGGGAGGAGTTACTTGGCGCCAATCCTTAACTGTAGACTCTGTTCACCCAGCAGTGAATGGGAATCTGGTTGTTAAACGATTTGGCGGATCACATTCCGGGGATTAATTGCCTTCATACAACGCCAGGCACAAGAAATAAAAAATATTTTTAGTCTTGAAGTGGGTAGAATATAGACTCCGAACCAATATAGAAGCATCAAGAGGAAGTATGGGCCAATAGGCCCTCTGCAGTTACTTCCATTCTTATGCTCTCATATCCAATTAATACCCATAGTTTTGTGTTCTGCCTTGTATTTGTCACACGTTTGTTCACCTCATCCAAAACTGTTGCACCATATCACCTCACCCAAATGCGAGTATAAGTATGACAGATTTGCTGACTGTTTAGTGTTTACAAGTTACAGTTGTGTGTGTAAACTAAAGTCTTTGAAAATGTAATAAGTTATTACGAAACGCGTTCAAGCGTCGCGTCAGACTAGAAATAAAAATGAATTTTGGAGAATTGATTTTTCCATTACCATCGACAGTGAAAAGAAACATAAGAAATATTGAGAAAATTCGTGTTAGAATTATTAATCTTACTTTTTCGGTCATATTTAACAACATATGTTTACAAGAAAGACTGCTACCAAAATATACTAGTATCTATATGGGTGTATATGGGTATCTGGGGGCCTGATGGCTGAGTGGATAGTGCTCAGGATTTATAATCCTGAGGATCCGGGTTCGATCCCCGGTGGAGGCGGAAACAAATGGGCAGTTTCTTTCACCCTGATTTCACTCTCAAGATAACCTCAAGAAGATCTATGTTCATTGTCCATCTGTAAATATGGTGATCATATGTGGGAGGGTTAGCTTTTCCCCCCACCTGGATTTGATCAATCATGCCCTCTTCTGATGTTAGCACAAGAGCTAGAATGCTGTGACCTTGTGTGGGCCTACCACATACTGTATGAGAAAGGAGTCCTGTACATGGTCTAGAAATTGTTCTCCCTCTGCTTGTGTTGTTAGATTTACCCAATCTATAGTCTCATGGTTAAAGTCCTCCATTATCAGGGTTTGGGGTTTCTGATGCTGCATTAATCACATTATGCAGATTCGCAATTTCCTCTGCTGCTGCTGTGTTAGCCCTGTAGCATACTCCCACCGTCACTGGGAGAATGAAAATCCCATAGATCCAGAAATACTCCTGGATGTGTGTCTGGGTCTCTGGAATTTTCTATCGAGATTAGCACCAACTGATTAAAAGACACTATTAAATTCAGTTGCCCCTTTTTAAGTATGTTGTAAGTATGTAACCACTCTTGAAGAGTTTTATTTGCTTGTTATGTGCACGTTGTTTAGATCCTAGGATGATAGAGGTTGCTTTCCATGTGCTTTACATATTTCCTTTTGCTTTTTTAATCTACTCTCCAATATGGAAAGTTTGGCTCTTTTTATTATATGGTAAGCATTGATGAGTATCTCTCAACTATTACTTTTGTAACTAGGCCAATTCTATGTTTTATT